ATGCACGCACGGGCCTCTCGGGGCCCTTGAAGAGCAATGCCTTCTGAGGGCATCGGACAAGGAACCACTGGACAAGCGATACAGTGAGTTACCATATCGCTGTCTTCCTCCCTCCCTCCCTCCCTCCCTCCCTCCCCTCCCTCCTCTCTCCCCTATCCCTCTCTCTGCCTCTGTCCCTCTCTCTCTCTCTCTATCTTTTTCTCTCGCTCTCTCTCTCTCTCTCACTCTCTCTTTCCTCCTCTCTCGCTCTCTCTCTCGCTCGCTCTTTCTCTCTCTCTCTCGCTCTTTCTCTTTCTCTCTCTCTCTCTCTCTCGCTCACTCTCTCTCTCTCTCTGGCTCTCTCCGCGCGCTCCCGCCGCCGAGAGGCCGCCCCAAAAAAGCCAAAGCCCCCCGGGTCGCCCTTGCTGTCGCGCCCCCGTGTGCCCCCGTGCCGTGCGGCGCCGCTCCTCGCCTCGCAGGGCGACCGGGATCGAGGTGGGCGATGACCGGGAAAGGGGTGGCTGTGTCCCATCGGGAGCCTCGAGACGGGGGTCAATGCAGACGGGGGTCAGCCAGAGCGCCAGAAGCTGCAGGATCCTGCGAAGACCCCCTCTGGCTGACCCGGGTTAGCGAGCCGCTCGTGGCCGCGAGGCGGCCGCGCGTATTGGCTGACCCGGGTTTGCGAAGACCTGCGCTGCAGTTTTTTTTTCCTGCATTGCAGTTTTTGGTTTCCTGCTGACCCGGGTCTGGATTGACCCGGGTCAGAAGATCCCCGCTCCCAGAGATCCGGCGCCCCCAAAACATTGGAGTTGCGGGATTTGGGCAGGTTTCGGCTTTGGGGGGCCTTCGCCGGGCCTCGGGAGTTGCAAAAAACGATTCAGGATTAAAAACCGGCCATGGGGAAGTGGTCCAGACCTCCGGGGCCCACGCATCAACAAAGCTTTGAGCAGGGGGTTGCGTTGCATTTTTTGGGGGCCCTGCCTGTCCTGCACATGGCAGCATGTTCCTGTACTCTGGCGTGGATTCGACGCGGATCCGGCGTGGATCCGGCACGGGTTCGGCACGGGTTCGGCAGGGATGCCAGGCTCTCGACACGGAGTCGACACGGATTCGACGCGGACCGCGGCGCGACGGGACAGAAGGCCCCTCGAAGATGCAACGCACGATCGGGGGGGGGTACGGTCCGGAACTTTGACTTTGCGTGTCGCTCCGCTGGTTTTGGCCCACCCACCAAACCACCCCAACCCAACCCGAAGGTTCAGATTTACCCTCCATTTCCAGTGGGGGGGGGTCGGGAAACATAGAAAAAACACATGTGGAACCCTTACCCCCCCCAACCCGAAATTCGGGTCTTCGGGTTGGGTTGGGGTGGTCTGGTAGGTAGTCAGGAATGTGCCCAGGAGGCTTCAGAGGTGTCGTCGCCGGAGACGGCGCCAGCGTGTTGAGACCGCCCCACGCGGCCCGGGGGGCCTGTTGGGGCCAGCCGGGACTACCTGGGAAGGGGGGGTGTCTGCGCGCAGCCCAAAGCCTCACCGGTACGGGGCCCGTTCCCAGACATGCGACGCCCTGATTTTTTCAGTGCGTGGTCCCTGGAAGTCCCGACCCTCTCCCCTGGACCAGTTTTTCATCCCGAATCATTGTTTGACTGCCCCGAGGCCCAGCGGGGCCCCCCCGAGGCCGAGAATGGCCAGGAACCTCCCGTCTTGATTGTTGACGACGCGATCATGTCTGGGTTTCCTTCAGGTCACGTTTTCGACGAACCAACAACACACACCCATACCCATAGGGGAGCAGGAGAGGGCTATGGGTGCATGTTGTCGGAGGGGGGTCCCCGCTCGAACGGGAGCGTTCCCCAGGGTCCGACAAACCGCACCCATAGCCATAGCCAGCCCTTCTCCGAACGACCCCCCTATGGGTACCCAGAGATCCGACGTCGTGATTTTTTCAATACGGGGTCCCGGAAGTCTCGACCCATTCCCCAGGACCGGCTTTGCATCCTGGGTCGTTTTTGATGACGCTCCCGGAGCCCGGCGAGGGCCGCTCGAGGCCGAACATCTGGAAAAACCTCCGTCTTGATTTTTCCAATACGTCGGAGGTCTGGGTACTCCAGATTTCGTAATAAAGGGAGGGGGGTCTCATTTCGGGGGGGGTCTCTTCCAAGCTATCTTGGAGGGCCTCGGGGGGTCTGGGGACGATGTTTTGGAGGGTTCTCCCAGGGGGGGGGTCTAAAACTTCTTGTCTGGGAGGGTTGAGACCCCCTCCCTTTTATTACGAAATCTGGAGTATGGGTGTGTGTTGCTCGTTCGTCAGCCTCCCCATGCCAGCCAGCGGCTGGTGGTCGGGGTCGCCTCAGCTCGGCGGCCCCCGCCGGTCGGAGCGCCGGCCCCGCGCGCGCGGGCCGCTGCCTCGGGCGCCCTGCGCCGCAGAGGCCCCCCGCGGGCCGCCTCGCCGCCCCGCGGGCCCAGATTTCTGCAAAAATGATCCCCAAAATAGTTTGGGGACGATTTTTGAGATTTTTTTAAATTTTCACATATTTTTGGAGTATGTTTCGTTTTCGCGTCCACCGCGCGGGCCTCAGATTCGAGTCTGGCCTGTCCATCTACTGGAGGAGAATTCAAAAATAGTCCAAAAAAATAGTGTGGGGACGATTTGTGGGTATCTTATATATATATATATATGTATATATATATATATGTATAAGTTTATAAATATTTGTCACTATGTTCCGCTTTCGTTCAAAATTCCCCAAAATAGTATCAAAAATAGTGTGGGGACGATTTTAGAGCATTTTTGGCAAATTTTGGGATATGTTTGGACTGTTTTTCATTTTCGTTCGAGATTCCCCGGTAGGAGGACAGGCCCGACTTAACCTCAGATCCTCGCGCCCTCCCGTCAAGCCGGCAGACTGACAGCGCACGTGGCCAAGTCTGCCCCATGCGCAGCCAGCGCAGGTCCATCTGGGCCCGCGGCGCCCAGGGTCGGAGGCGAGCGATGGGGGGAGGGAAGTGAGGAGGGGCGGGCCTCCTCCGAAGGCTCGGAAGCCCCCCGGCCTTCTGAGAAGCTATCCTACGCCTTCCCCGAAGACACTGGGAAGTTTTCAGGAGGCGCGAGGGACTCCGAGAAGCCCCGCCGCCTTCTGAGAAGGCCTTCTCCTTCTCCTTCTCACTTCCCCCCCCTTGGCGCGACGCCGATCATCATCGGTCAAAATCGGTGCGCCGGGTCCATCCGATCGGGTTTTTTACCCTGGATCGAGTTTCAGGGGTCCCGGGGCCCGAAAACGGCCCCCATACATGATCAACAGCCGCCTCGAACCTCGAAGCTCGAGCCTCGAAGTTCCCCTCGCTCGCTGCCGGCCGCCTGAGGGGTCCCGCCGCCTTCTGGACAGGCCGTCTCCTGCTCGCTTCCCCCCTCGCTCGCCGCCGACGCCGGGGAAAACGGGCGCGCCGTTATTGGAGTACGTGATCGTCTACAGCATTGATTTACCCCAAAACTGATTTTCTCGTCGAGTCATACGTAGGACGTTTGTAGATTTACGAACGTTCTACGCACTTCCAATGGATTCGACGAGAAAATCAATTCGGGGGTAAATCAATTCTGTAGTCGATGCCCTAGAGTTATCTATCCTGGTGGGGGGGCCTCCCAGGCCGGGCGAGAGTGCTGCTGTGGCCCCCGGCACATGCGCGCGCGCATGAAGGCCTGGCGTGCCCTCCCGGCCAGCCTTCTCGGGCGCCTCCCCTCGTCGGGCCCCGGCCAGAGGCTCGCGAGGGCATGCTGTTTCGACCCGGTTCGCCCCCCGGCCCGGGCCCCGTTGCCGGACCCGGGACGATCCAAAATGGATCGGGGACGAACAGCGAGTCCTGGGGACAGGGTCGGGTTCTCCATGGGGCCGCGGGCCGGAACAGTCAGACGGGGCGTTCCAGAAGCGGCCTCGCCTTCGAGGGTGGGAGGAGTGGTGATCTCTTCCGCGGCGGCAGGCGGCGGAGGGGCGGCGGAAGATCGGCGGAAGTAAAACGAGACCGCCTCCGCCGGCGGAAACCGGCTGAAGGCTGGCGAAAGGCGGCGGAAGTAAAAGATGCGCTCCCAAGAGATGATCGGGCCGAGCGAAAGAAAGGGGGGGATAGGTAGGGAAAGGGGGGGTACGAAATCTGCTGCGTGCAACTGGTGTCGGCCCCGCCGCCGACCCATTCCTCGATACATGGGCGCCTCCCTGCGCCGGGAGGCGCTGAGAGAAACAGCTACGTGAGCTGAGTCTCTAACCTACCCTTTGCTATCCCCCCCTTTTCGTTCCCCCCGAGATGGAAACGTTTTTGGGCTCAGGGTTTCCGAAATCCACCATATCGGCGGATGCCCGGGCTCTCGGAGCAGGGCTCGAGCTAGAAACGGCGCTTTGGCCATCGCGTGGACCGTTCCCGCCTTGATGTTGCCTTCTGCGCAGCAGAGGTGGAGCGAAGACTGGTCCGAGGGACAGCTCGAGCCCACGAAGACGAAGACAGAGCGAAGACAGAGCGAAGGCAAAACTCGAGCAGGGCATCGACCACAGAATTGATGGAGCCCAAATTTGCTTTCCTCGTCGAGCCCATGAGAAAAATGCGCCGAACAGTCCGTAGGTCTGCGGAGCACTCTGCGTACGTTTCGCAGACTCGGCGGGCGATCCACCTCGGGGCAGATCGAGGACGCGGCCGAGCCCCTCCTCGGAGCGAACACGGAGGACACCGCTCAGCTCGAGGCCTGTCCGGGGAGCTCGCCCCCTCGGGGCCCGAGGGCCCTCTCTGGCCGGCCCCTCGGCTCTGGGCGTCGGGCCCCTCGGCCACGGGGGCGGCGAGGCGCGCGCGGCAGGGACGCGGGGAGGAGGGAGGAGGGAGGAGGGCGGAGGAGGGAGGAGGGAGGAGGAGGAGGGAGGAGGGAGGAGGGAGGGAGGGAGGGAGGGAGGGATGGGAGGGAGGAGGGAGGGAGGGAGGAGGAGGAGGAGGAGGAGGGGGGAGGAGGGAGGAGGAGGAGGAGGAGAGGAGGAGGAGGATGAGGAGGAGGAAGGAGGAGGAGGAGGAGGAGGAGGGGAGGAGGAGGGAGGAGAGAGGAGAGAGGGAGGAGGAGGAGGGGAGGAAGGAGGAGAGAGGAGGAGGAGGAGGAGAGAGGAGGAGGAGGGGAGGAGGAGGAGGAGGAGGAGGAGGAGGAGGAGGAGGAGGAGGAGGAGGAGGAGGAGGAGGAGGAGGAGGAGGAGGGGAGGAGGAGGAGGGAGGAGGAGGAGGAGGAAGAGGAGGAGGAGGAGGAGAGGAGGAGGAGGAGGAGGAGGAGGAGGGAGGAGGAGGAGGAGGAGGAGGAGGGAGGAGGAGGAGGAGGAGGAGGAGGAGGAGGAGGAGAGGAGGAGGAGGAGGAGGAGGAGGAGGAGGAAGGAGGAGGAGGAGGAGGAGGAGGAGGAGGAGAGGAGGAGGAGGAGGAGGAGGGGGGGGGAGGCCTCCTCCTCAGCCGCGCGTCGCTCGCGCGCATTGGCGCCTCTCTCGCCTGCCTCTTTCATCCCCTCCTCCTCCTCCTCCTCCTCCTCCTGCTCCTCCTCCTCCTCCTCCTCCATCTCAGAAGCCTCGAGCAGTCTCAGATCGATGCCTCATTTTTTTGTTTTTACGGTCACGAGCGTGTGATTGGAGATTGCTGGCTTCCCAGAGCTGGTCAGTCAGTCAGTCCTCCTCCTCCTCCGTAGCCATTTTGGCTCAAGCGCGCACTCAAAGTTTCGGCCTGCCCGCCCAGGTCAGGATCCGTGCGCCAGTGTGTGCGGACGCTTGCACTTTCGCTCCTCGCGGCGCTGGTGCCATGGGCGGCGGCGGCAGCGGCAGGACCCCCCAGAGAGGAGGAGGAGGAGGAGGGAAGGACAAGGACAAGAAGGAGAAGAAGAAGGAGAGGGAACGCGTTCCTTCGAGCGGCTCTGGAGACCGCAGCCGCTCTGCTGGGCGCTCTCCCCCCGAGGCGCTGCGAGGTCGGCGGCAGGCCGGAGCAGGCGGTGCCCTCGTCGGTGGCAGGCTCGACCCGCGGGCCGCCTCGGTGGCCAGTGGCTCCTCCGGGGCAGACGCACCGCGCACCGAGCGAGAACTGCTGGCGCCTGTCATCTCGGGGGCCGTTGCGGCGGCGCTCGAGGCGACCGTGGCCCGTGGCCCCCAAGCTGGGCCAGCTCGAGAAGACGTTCCTGTGGCGAAGCTCTACACGTTGGCCAGAGACGTCCACGAGCGCGGGCCGCGGATCGACGACGTGGGGAGCGGCCACGGGAAGCCGGAGGAGAGGATGGTGGTCCTCGAGAGGGAGCCTCACCCGGCTCCTGCCCAGCCGCGGAAGGCTCCCCTGCGCACGCCCGACTGGGGCCGGCAGATCGACACGTGCATACTGCTGGTCAACGCGCGGGAGGAGGTACCCAAGGCGCTGGTGCGCGGCTGTCTCCGCCCGTGGCTGGAAGCAGTGGGCTGCACTTAAGTCGGCCCTGTCTCTCGACAAGAGGAGTATTCGAAAATAGTCCAAAAATAGTCTGGAGACGATTGTTCGACTATTTTTGAATATGTTTAATTTTTCCTCCGAGATCCGCCTGAAGGAGACGCGCCCGATTTTAGGCTACACGGAGGGCGCCGAGTTCGACTTGGAGGGGGCCGACATGTCGCGGTCATATGTGTTGCGGTTCACGGGCACGCTGCAGCACATTGCGGAAGCGCGTCGCAACAAGGCAGAATCAGGGCTGCGTGAGGCGCCTGGCCAATGGCGGCGCTTCGTGCTGGCTCTTCCGGGTGGCCGCCGTGTGTCGCTCTCCGTCGGCGGCGACAAGAACCGCCACAGCATCGCCTTGGAGGTCGCGGGGAAGAGGCTCAAAGGGGCCATATCGGAAAAACTCGATGTCAACGTGTACCTGGAGAAGGAAAGCGGCCACCTCTCACACAGATGGGAGCGAGTGGCCAAGATTTTTCGGCGGAGCAGGGCGCGGGACGAGGCTCAAAAAGGCCATATCAAATCGGAAAAACTCAATATCAACGTGCACCTGGAGAAGGAAAGCGGTCACCTCTCACACAGATGGGAGCGAGTGACCAAGATTTCGGCGGAGCAAGGCGCGGGACGAGGCTCAAAAAGGCCATGTCAAATCGGAAAAACTCGATGTCAACGTGTACCTGGAAAAGGACAGCGGCCACCTCTCGCACAGATGGGGGCGAGTGGCCAAGATTTTTCGGCGGAGCAGGGCGCGGGACGAGGCTCAAAAAGGCCATATCGAATCGGAAAAACTCAATATCAACGTGCAACAGGAGAAGGAAAGCGGCTACTCCAGAGTTCGTAATAAAAGGGAGGGGGTCTGGACCCTCCAGGACAAGCCATTTCAGACCCCCCCCGTGGGAGAACCCTCCAAAACATCGTCCCCAGACCCCCCCAGGCCCTCCAAGATAGCCTGGAAGAGACCCCCCCCGAAATGCGACCCCCCTCCCTTTATTACGAAATCTAGAGTACTTCTCGTACAAATGGGAGCGAGTGGCCAAGATCTCGGGGGAGCAGGGCGAGACTCGCGGGGCCCAGCGGAACCTCGCAGTGGTTTGGCAGGGCTGCGGGTGGAGAAGGAGACCCTCGACGAGATCGCCGACTCGGTCTTCAACCCAAGGCCGATTCCGTGGAGCGGGTAACGAGTAGAAGATCCACTGCAAAATCGATCCACCCCCAAATTTATTTTCCACTATCGAATCTGCGACGAACGCGTGGAACATTCGTAAGCCAACGGGGGGTTCTAAATATTTTGCGCTGATTCGGCGGGAAAGCTGATTCGGGGGTGAATCAATTCTGTAGTCGATCTCCCACTCGAGGGTAGCGTGCTGTTCCACACGGAGGCCCTCGCGATGAGGTCGTGGTCGTGGAACACGAGGGCCCTGCTGCGTTGGGAAATCTTCCACGGCAGTGCGGCGCCCACAGGTGCTGCGAGATGTGGCGACGCCGAAGGCGGTGGTCGCTCTACAGGAGGTTCATCGGGATGCTGGAGCTCTTCGCGACGGCCTTCAAAGGTCTTTGCATGTACTACTACACCCGGCCCGGGAGCCGTACGCGGCTGACCACCCGGAGGAAGGCGACGACGAGGCCTTCAAAGCATCGGCATCGTGCACCACGTTTTCTACTCCTTCGGGCGTGTTGCTGATGCTGGCGGAGCGTCACCATCTTCCCGAGGTGCGGGGCCGTGGACATGGGGCGTGTCCCAAGTGTGTAATTATGCGGCTGGCCGCGTGCTGTGTGTCAAGGCAGCGCCTGCTGCCCTAGGGGCGGCGTTATACCAATGGAGCGTGCACAGCTACGAGCTGTCCGCCGCGCAACGGAAAAGTATTAAGGACGATGTTTTCGGCAGTTGGAGGAGGCAAAGTTGGGGGCCTGGAAATGGGCGCCGACACCAACACAGGGGTTTGCCTCCACAGGGGGAAGATGATCCTAGATTTTGGTGTTGGTGGTCAAACTTCGGTTACCTTGGAAGCCAGAGTATTACCACCATCGCCGAGATCGGGATCTTCTTCCCTCGGTGGAGGCACACCTCCGATATCGGTGTTGGTGACAACCTTCAGGCCTGCGACAAAGGGCAACTTGATGCTATGCTCGGTCTCCCTCATCGGCGACTTCAACATCGCGGACCTGACGGGGGAGAGTCGCGCCGTGAAGCCGCAGGCGCTCATCGCACCGGGAGTCGAGGCGCCCCTCCCACCAGCGAGAGATCGCCCTGGAGAAGCCACCTGGCGGCGGGCGCGGCGGCGCCTCGCAGAGCCCAGCGCTGGGACGGTCACCTCGTGGCAGAAGCCCTCAGATATGGGTTCCGGCATCGACGGGGCGTTCGCGAGTGCCCCTTCGAGGACTCCTGTGCCATGGCCGCCAGGCAACGACGACTGGAGGAGAGCCTGAAGAGCATTTCCTGCGCGACCTCTCAGATCACGTGCTGATCACGGTGACCATGCAGGACCGTCCGAAGTTGGGGCAGCGTTACCCCATGGAGTGGGATAGCGCTTCGGCGACGCGTCGCCCAGTGCCCCCCCGCGTCCACCAGGGTCCGTTTTTTCGAGAGATGGTGGTGTCCTGCGAAGCTCTGGTAGAGGAGGAAGCTATCTTCGCAACGCCGCCGGAGCAGGTGGCCATATACGGTCGCTGCCGACACGCTGCGACGCGAGCGATGCGGGAGCTCCAAATGGCCCACCAGCCGCAGCTTCTCACTTCGCGTGCCATGGTGACGCGCGCGCTGGCACGTGTCGTGTATAGGCAGGATGTGAAGCTCGGGGGGGGGGGGGGGGGGGGGGCGTGTTGGCCCGCCAGGAATGGATGCGGGAGCACTTCGAGATCGCGCATGAGTCCGTTGTTCTGAAGAACCAGCTCATCTTTAGCCGACTGATTGAGGTCCGCGGGATTCAAGACGCCCTCGAGACGCAGCGCGCGGGGGAGGCCTCGGTCGGCAGGCAAAGGCGCACTGCGGGGCAGCAGGCCTCGCGTCGCAGACGCGCGCAGCTCTGGAACGCAACGCGCTCTCGTGGAGCAAGTACATGGCAGGTGTCCTAATCGACAGGGGGCAGGCGGAGGTGGCCACTGGGAGCGTCCGTCATCGCGAACGAGTTGAAGGCGCACTGGGGGCCCGTCTTCGCGCGCTCCACGCCCACCCCCAGCATGGCCCGAGCGGAGAAGTATCTTGAGCGCTTCACATGTGCTTATGACTTCTCGGACATCCAAATGCCCGAAGTCCGCGACATGAGAAAGTACCTCGACGCGGCGTTGCTTTCCGCGCCGGGGCCAGACGGGCTATATTATCGCACATGGGCCTGGGGACGGTGCCCCGAGCTCCTCCACGACTGCATGTCTTGGGCGATGGAGGGCAACCCGCTCGGAGAGGAGTTCAGCGCCAGCATCGGGGTGCTCTTGCCCGAAGGCACTGGTGATGGCGCTCGGCAGGACAGCGGCCCGCTCACTCGCGCAGCGGAAACACGTCCACTGGCATTGAAGAGCTCGTGCAACAAGGCAGTGGTGGCGATGCTGAATGTGCCGCTTCGCAGGGTCCTGCAGCGCAGTGCCCCCTCCACGCAGGGGGGGTTCGTGCCGGGCCGTGCCATGATTCAGAACGTCACCGATTTGGACTCGCACGCCCGGTTGGTCAACAGCCGAGCGCAGTCCGACGACGAGCGCAAGGAGGAGGGACCCCTGTGGGCGGTGGACTTTTGCGCGGCGTCCCCGTCGGCGCGGCAGGCCTGGACGCACCTGGCCTTGTCCCGTTGGCGGGCGCCGAGAGGTCTCAAGAAGGCGGCGCTTGTGCTCTACATGGACAGCCATCTCTGGAATAGTTACTGGGCGACGTGGACCTACCCCTTTGAGGCGATATCGGGGGTCCTGCAAGGATGCCCGCTCTCTGGATCATTGCACGTCGTCGCCTGCGCATGCTCCACCGAAGATCTCAAAACCTCCATCGGGGCGCGAAACCTAGGCTGGGCGCGGTCGTGCGCCGACGACCTCGGCGGGGTCGCTTGCAGGTACCGCTTCTTCAGGCATCTGGCACGCATCATGAGGATCGCTGCGGAAATTGCCGCATTGAGGCTGAAGTATGAGAAGTGCGTGGTGGTTCCGCTTGGTGGCCCGCCCACCCCGGAGCGAGAACAGACCATCCGGACTCTCTTGGCAACCGCCTACAAAGACCTCCGTGGGGCCGATTCCAAATCACAAGCCAGCTGGAAAACCTAGGGGTGAACATGTGGGCCGGCAGCCACGGTGGACAACAACATGAAAACACCGATGGCGAAGTTCATGGAGCGCACGAAACCCATCATGACGCAGGGGCCGCACGCCCACCTCGCGCGCCAGCAGTGCTTGAGCAGGGCGCAGCCGGTCACCTCGTACAATATGCAGTTCATGATGATGCCTTGGAAAATGGTGAGGTCAGAGGTCCGTGTCTTCGGCAAGATGTTGCGTGGACCCTCCTCGGCATTCCGGCGGCGGGACTGGATCTCGTTTGGTTTCTGGGGAGGTGGGGGCCCAGCTGAGGAGGCTTCGTGAGACCAATGCGGCGGTGCTGATGCGCTTCGCGCTGAAGGCTTTCGAAGGGACTAGCTTCCCACGTCGCGGCAACTCCACGGTGTCCCCCTCAGCGCGATGCGCGCGCATTGCCCTATCAAGTTCTGGTCCGCGAAGCTGGCGCCACCCCTTCCGTCAGGAGGGGGAAAAACACAGACACAATTAATCGTCGATCCCTAGGAAAATATGGGAAAATATGGGAAGTGGGGGGGACGACAAAAACCCGGAAAATATTTGGAAAATGCGGGGGATCTTGTTATGCGTGTGTATGTTTATTTGTGTGTCCCAAGGCCCCTTCATTCTGGTGTTCACTGACGATCGCGCACGCGTTGAATGCCCAGCAGAGGGCTTCGCGGGCGACGACCCCGTGTGCAGGGGGGCCTTGGGCCAGGGGGGCCGCAAGGCGTTGCGATGGCGGCGCTCGGTCCAGGCGGAGGCACCCGGAAGCGCCAGAAAGCGGCAGCTGCCGCAGGGCTACTTCCAGAAGGTCTTCGAGGAGGAGATCTAGCCGATGGTCAGTATCGTTTATCCGACCCCCATCCCCATCCCCATCCCTTTCGAGACCCCCACCAAATTACCACCCCAGTTGGGGATACACCCCTCGACCCCCTCCAGGGAACGACCTACATCCCCATCTGGGGGGTAAATCGGTCAGGAGGGCCCAGGCCACGCCGCTGGGGATGGGGATCGGTTAAACGATATTCAGATGGGCCTAATCGGCCTGTTCACCCAGAGATCCCGCAAGCACTACCAGATGGAGGACTTGCAGGTGCACTGGGTGTCTGTGCGCGCCCACATGAGGCATGCCGCCATGGCATGGGCGCTCGCCGCGATTCGAACGTGGGTGGGAGGGTGCGTCACCGGCACGAGGGTGCAGAGATGTGCTGGCTGTGTGGTGGGAGGCCCCGGCGAGCCCGACAGGATCGGGCGCTTCGTCTCGAGCTGCCGCCGCCTGCATTTCCTGGCCGCGAGGGCGCTGATATGCGACCTCCCTGCGCCGCTCGCGTGGAGCCTTGGTCTGTGAAGGGCGGGCACTTGGCCTTCGCAGTGGCGCTGTATCACGCGTGCCGCGTCTGCTCCCACCTGTGGCACGGCGCGGAGGAAGTGATGCTGCAGATGGTCATTGGCAACATCGAGGCGGTGAGGCTCGCAGTCCGCCTCCCGTTGAAATCCCAGCAGAAGAAGATGTTCAACATGGTTGAGCTCAGGCGTTGCGTTGCGCGCAGCCGCGGTGAGCTGCCGAGCAGCGCCTCCTCGTCCGATGCCTAAGTGAGCGGTCCTCCTCCTCCTCCTTCTCCTCCTCCTCCTCCTCCTCCTCCTCCGCTCTCCCCCCTCCCCTGCAGGCCCCCCCTTCTCCTTCCTCCTCCTCCTCCTCCTCCTCCACCTCCTCGTCCTCCTCCTTCCCCCTCTGTCTCACCCTCCTCCTTCTCCTCCTCCTCCTTGCTCCTCCCTCCTTTCTTGTTTCACTCCTGTTTCTCCTCCATTTCCTCCTCCTCCTCCTCCTCCTCCTCCTCCTCCTCCTTCATCCTCCTTCTCCTCCTCCTCCTCTTCCTCATGGCCCCTCCTGGACGCCCGAAGGCGCTCTCAGCACCACCCCCGTGGACACCCTCTACGGCTTCAGGACTGCAGGGGACGACAAGCGCAACAGGCGCAGTGGGGACTGCACCGTGTGCCAAGCGTGGCCTCACGGCCCAGGAACATTCGTGCTGCACCGCGTCCACAACATGCTCTTTCGAGAGGTGTTATGAGTAGTTATGTGGTGGTGAGGAGGAGGATGAGGAGGTGGAGGAGGAGAATGAGGAGGAGGAGGAGGAGGGGGGAAAGAAGAGGGGGAAAAGGATGTGTCAGGAAGATGCGAGGCGTGGAGGGTGAGGGCGCTAATTTGACAGAGTCACGGGTAATGCGAGTGTGTCGGTTCCGAGATGAGGACGAGCAGTCTGTCCTCGTTGTTTGCTCGTTTCATCGGTTGGTTTTGGAGAAATCCTCATGCCGTAGTCCACGAGGCAGTATCCCATGCGAGAAGCAGCTTTTTTTTGTTCTCTCTCTCTCTCTCTATTTCTTTATCTTCTCCATCTTCCTCTCTCCCTCTCTCTCTCATCACCCTTATATCTCAACGTTTACATTATTATAGATAGATGTGTTTTGATACATATATATATATATGTATATATATATATATGGTATATGTGTCTATGTGTGCAGATATGTCTCTCGCTCTCTCTTCTCTCTTTCTCTCACGATGCGGTCCGGAACTTTTGCTTCGAGTGTCGCTCCGCCAGTTCTTGCCCGACGCGCGACGGGGCGACAGATTCACTACGTCCCAGTTCCCGAGCGTCAGCGTCCCGGGCCGTCCCGGCCCCCCGCCACGCGGCGCAGAGCGACACGTCACCAGCTCGAGGGGCACATCGTGTCGTGGGGGCCGCCGCTGCGACACGCTGAGCTAAAGGTTCTGACAGGAAGCCCCCGTCTTGGGCGGCAGAGAGGGGGTGATGACTAGGGGGGGGATATCATGGCGGGGGCCACGATATCTCCCCAGATTCCATGGCGCCTCTTCTTACTTCAATGCGTCCCCGGCCCCCCCTCCGCGCACATGTCGCCAGCCATGATTTGCGCCCCCCCCTCTCGGACGCCCCCCCTCTTGGACGCCCCCGACCCGTGCGCCCAAGGATCGGCGGCTCCTACTGGGAAAACCTGACCTGGACGGGCGCCGTGCCAGCGGGGCAGTCGCCCGTAGCGATCTGGTACGACGGCTCGTACGACACCTCAGGAGCTCTCGCCGTTGCCTCCGTCCTCGTCTTCGCCCTCCCCCTCTGAAGGGGCAGCCACCGGAACGGGCACAGACCCTCGGAGTGCCGCGCGGACCCCCGAAAGTTTCTGCTCGCATGCGGCGTTCTTATCTCAGAGCGTGAATTACCTACCCCGCTTTCGCTTCCTCGCCATACCACGCGCCTCCTCGTCAAGCGGCCTGACCAGTACGGGCTGCAATTTGGCATCGTTCGGCATCTCTTGGAAGCGAGGGTGGTCAAAAGCGAGGAAGGCTCGTTTTCCCCCTATGATCGTTGTGGTGCAGTCCTCCTCCTCCGCCCGGAGGGTGGCACCGCGCGCCGCAGCACGCGTGCGCGCCCGCGCGGCGGCCACGATGGCCCGCCCCACCTGCACCCACTGGGCTTGCGTCGGGCCTGTCCCTCTACAGGAGGAGTGCTCCAAAGTAGTCAACAGATAGTTTGGGGACGATTTTTCTCGTACTGTTTGGCCATTTGGGGGGGCATTTCCTGGACTATTTGAAATTTGTCGTCCAAGATCCCCCTGGAGCATTCCAGAATAAGCAAAGGATAATTTGGGGACGATTTTTCTAGCATTGTTGGACCATTTGGGGGGGTATTTTTTGACTGTTTTAAATTTTTCGTCCAAAATCCCCCTGGACGGGGACAAGCCCGACCTGACACTGGGCGCCTCCCTCCCCGCCGGCTCCACGGGAGGGCCTGCCGAACCTCGCCGTCGACGGCCGCTCCCCCTCCGCGCTCCGTCGGCTGAGGCTCTGCACGTTGTTCATTTTTTTATTTTTGTCGAAGGTTCTTTGATTCTTTTTTTGGGGGGGCAAGATCTTTGATCTTTTGGTTCTTGATTATTTCGGTTATTTTTGGCAAGATCTTGTTAATTCTTTCTTTGGGGGGGCAAGATCCTCTCATCCTGGGCCTCTTCCTGGCCACGAGGGGGCCAGGAACAATCAGGAACGAGCACAACCAGAAGTGAGCACGATTAGAAATGAGCGACGGGTAGCTAGCGCGCAGAGGCGGTTCTCACAAGTCGCTGGTCTCGCTGAACTTGACGCCCGATTGGGCCACAAGCTCGCCCCTCTCAGCACCAGAAGAGACGTCGCGACCCCAGGAGTGGTGCGGTTCGGATGCTCTGTTCAGCGTGCCGCGTCGCCGGTGCTGGCCCACGTCGCTTTGGCGCCACACTCTATTCACCTCCCAGTCCCAAGGCGTCAACGTGCCGAAAATTTCCAGTCTTCCCGTCCCGCGGGGCGGAGCAGCACGCTGAGCAAGAGTTCCCGACCGTGCGCCGTTCTGTTTCAGGTGTTGGACCCGCTCCTCGACCAGCACAGCGGCGAACCCTCGTGCGGCTGGTGTTGTCACTCAGGCACGGACCTTTCTGCAATTCGTCGGCTTACCCAGGTTACATGACTCATGTGCTCCCCTCAACTGCGATGGAAGAGCTCAAGCGCGGTACACCCATCACACAGCTTCAGAAAACGAGTCAACTTTTATGTGCTCCAGACTTCGTTTTATACAGCCAAGAATATTGGCTGGACCCTGGGCGTTTTCTCTGAGGTTGCTTGTTCGCAGAACTTCCGTACATCTGCACCAGGACTTCTGTTTAAGAAGAAGCTTCGCGTGAAGTCCAGTTGCTTAGCTTAATATTGTTTTTGCTCAGCAGGGGTGCACAACAAGCTCAAGTAATCCTCACCAGAAGTACACACAGACACCCTCCAGTGGTTTGTTCTTGGGCCTCAGGTGAGGGTGGCGGCGTATCAACCACCAGCTGGGAGCCGCCGCTCTCCTCGTCGGAGGGTATCTGTGTGTATATATCTATGTATCTATTATCATACGCACCTCTCCGAGGGAGTAGAGCTCAGAGGCGATTAATGCGTACGCGGGGCGCCGCGTCCGCGATTTTTCTAGCCGTTTCGCTAGGGACATCCTCGAAATTCTGAACATCGGTGGCACCCTTCACGCAGATCGTGACGTCAGGGTCCAACAACACATGGAAACTTCAACATTTTACAATAAAACCTTTAAACACACATGGTAATTTCAATAATTTTGACCCCGATTCTCAGAGAATGGCGGTTTCGCCTGAAACGTCCTCCCAAAATCGAGCCCCGACGTACCCTCTGGTACCCCAGACCCCGCCTCGGAAGCCTCCTGGGAGCCTCCTGGAACCTCCTGGGGCCTCCTGGGGCTTTCTGAACCTTCTGGTACCCCAGACCCCGCCTCGGAGCCTCCTGGTGGTCTCCTGAAACCTCCTGGGCCTCCTGCGGCCTCCTGTAGCCTCTTGGGGCCTCCTGAAGCCTCCTGGGGTCTCCTGGGGCCTCTTGAGGCCGCCTGGGGCCTCCTGGGGCCTCCTGAGGCCTCAGAACTACATGCACACACAGAGGCACAAATCACGCCCAACACATCACACGCTAGACAAACATGACCCACACACACACAACACCTACAACGCACAAAAAGCACGCACAACACAGCACACATCACACACACACACACACAACACTCACAATCCTGGGGCCTCCTGGAGCCTCTTCTGGTATCCAAGTCGGGCCTCCTGAGGCTTCCTGGGGGGCCCTGGTACACACATCGCAAGGTGTGGCAACCCCACTTGCGCTCGAGTGCGACTTCGCTGTTGCATTTCACTCCTGCTTCAAACGCCCCTTCAGTTTTTACCTAACAGCGAAGACTGATAGGTTTCTGGTGGGCTCAAAAGCGAGCATCTTGACGCCCTGCAGGGGGGTCTGGGCGGGATCCGGACAGATCCGGACAAGGAACCGGACAACAGGGACAGCCCCAGGAATCCTTGGGAATTCTTAGGAATCCTTAGAAGTCCATTCCCAGAACTCCAGGCCACATTTTGAATGCCTGGAGCCAACTGTAGGCCACTTCGTGTTCTTTGTGTTCCCAGAACACCATTCGTGTACCACATGTTGAATGCCCGGAGCCAACTGTAGGCCACTTCGTGTTCTTCGTGTTCCCAGAACACCATTTCTGTACCACATTTTGAATGCCCAGAGCCAACTGTAGGCCACTTCGTGTTCTTCGTGTTCCCAGAACACCATTCCTGTACCATATTTTGATTGCCCGGAGCCAGCTGTGGGCCACTTGGTGATCTTCGTGTTCCCAGAACACCAGTCCTGTGCCATGTTTTGAATGCCCGAGCTGAGGCAGGCTGAGGCCGAGGCAGGCTGAGGCTGAGGCTGAGGCACGCCGAGGAGGCTGAGGCTGAGGCTGAGGCAGGCTGAGGCAGGCTGAGGCTGAGGCTGACGCAGGCTGAGGCCGAGGCAGGCTGAGGCTGAGGCTGAGGCAGGCTGAGGCTGAGGCAGGCTGAGACTGAGGCTGAGGCAGGCTGAGGCTGAGGCTGAGGCTGAGGCTGAGGCTGAGGCTGAGGCTGAGGCAGGCTGAGGCTGAGGCTGAGGCCGAGGCAGGCTGAGGCTGAGGCTGAGGCTGAAGCTGGGGCAGGCTGAGGCTGAGGAGGCTGAGGCTGAGGCAAGCTGCGGCTGAGGCTGAGGCGGCTGAGCTGAGGCTGAGGCTGAGGCTGAGGCTGAGGCTGAGGCAGGCTGAGGCTGAGGCAGGCTGAGGCTGAGGCCGAGGCAGGCTGAGGCCGAGGCTGAGGCTGAGAGGCTGAGGCTGAGGCTGAGGCTGAGGCTGAGGCAGGCTGAGGCTGAGAGGCTGAGGCTGAGGCTGAGGCAGGCTGAGGCTGAGGCAGGCTGAGGCTG